CTCAGGAATGTTGGATTTCATTGAGTGATTTCTATATATTAGTTCTTTTCCTTAAACTTGTTACATCTGTAACAATGTCTTATTTAACTAGTCTGTTACAGTTACTGTCGTGGAGCAACTGTAACCCGCATCATTTCCTGTTCTGATTTAGTGCTTAAAGAGAGAGAAGCCTGTAATATGGGACAAAAATCAAGATAATTGAATTCAGTTCAGTTTCATTTAAATAGCACCAAACTGACAACAGTCACCTTAAAACATTTAATATTGTAAAGACTCAGATACAGAGAAGATAATTAAAGAAGCCTCTGTGAACCCAAAGATCTCTTGTTTTACACAGACTATTTCCTGTGAATCAGTTAAACCTGTTTAGCGCTGCTGCTACGTGGCACAACTGTGTGTAGCATCATGTTGTGTTATCTGTGTGGTCTTTATGGTAAACTTTGATCTGTGATATCAGAGACTGCTTCAGCTGTCTTTGCTCTGATGGCTTCTCCTGACGTTACTCTGGAGTGTTTGCTTCCTGAAACATTTCATTGTGCTCGCTGGAGCCACGGTTGCTGACAACACTGGCGTATTATGTAATGGATGAACCTTGTTTATGCTACTGCAGAGGCAGTGCCAGTCTGCTGAGGAGCTGACAAGACATGAAAGTGAGAAAATGCACAATGTGTTCTTACTGAAAAGTGCCGTTGTTGTGCATGCATGCACATACAGCATGTAGCATCACATCGAGCTGTGTTAATAGAGTTGGACGGGGAGATAGTGCTGTGCGTCTGAGCACCACAGTCACCATGTTATATAACTGAGTGGTTTGAGCTTTCATGCTACTGATACAGGGAGGCCACACAGCTTTACACTGTGCTGTCGTTTACTTTGATATGTCAGGTTCTTTTAAACGTTAGTAAGAAGACCGAGGGTTCAAATAACAGGGTTAGGGCTACCTAACACATCCCAATGATGCAACATGAGGGTTACTACAGACTGGCAGCAGATGGGGATTGAACCAGCAACCCTCTGATTAGTAGATGACCAGCCTAACCTTCTGAGCTACAGTTGACTTACCTCCAATAGCAGATGTTACAGTGATACCAGCCCTGGTAGGTTCTCTGATGGCAGACTGGTCCTGGCCAGTGTGATTCACACTGAAACATGTTAACTCACCTGGATCCAGGTTATCCAGGCCCCACCCTGGAGCCCGGTCTTGGGGACAGCTACATGTGTCACTCCTCCTGTGGACCCTCCACCCACAGAAAGGCCACGAGCTTCTAGTGCAGTATGGACTGGGCAGCTTCTTAAGCAGTGAGGGAAGGAGTGAGGAGCGCTGTGGACCAGTCTGTCATGGTGACCAGAGAACAAAGCTGTGGATTTAGCTCTTCACATGTTGTGGGTACTGACTGAAAGAAGGAGATGACAGATACGGGCCTCTGGTTTCTGAGCTCTCCCAGAGACACTCTGAAAGGAGCCAGTGAAGTAAAGGTGTAACTACAACACGTCCAACAGACGGGAAGCCCAGAGTAGATGCTGAGATTATGTTATGATGTCCTGCCGGAGGAGCCAGAGGAGGCGGCTGGGGAGGCGTAGGGGGCTGCTGCCTGGACCAACAGAAGGACTTTGTTATTCAGCTGCTGCTTAGATGCACAGCCTTTACTTTGAAGGTGAAGCAGCTCTGCTTCCTGCAAACAGGACTTACACGTGACTCCTACTTCATACAGTGTGTGCCATTTTAAACACAGCAAATTCAAAATATTGGACACAACAAGCTTCTGTTTATGAAAATGTGGGTAGAATAGCTTTCAAATAAGATGTCAGCGTTTTCACAGTGGACGCAGTTTGGTTAACTTTTATAGTAGCTACTGTAATTTGTATGAAACTAATGTTTCGGAGTATAGCTGTAGTTACTGGCTTAGAGCACGACGCCAAAGGAAACACACCTGTCCCTCGCACGCCTCAGCACCTGTGCTCGTCCTGGACGGCCCAGCTGGAAGCACGATAAATGAAACAACATATTTAGACAAACAGCATCAGATCTGCTCTCAGTGGTCTAATGAAAGTAGCCATATTTCTGATAGTGAAGACTGAGAGGAAAGAAAGAGGGGAGACATGCAGGCGGCGGGCTCAGCTGTGCAGCGTGTGGTCGTCAGCTCATTCCATGAAAGCAGAGATATTAAAGAAAAGAAGATTATAAATCTGCACTATCAGTTTGAATAGTTTAAAATGACCTCAGATGTGTTAGGCTTGTAAATCAGTAAATTATATAAATTCATAATCTTTTCCACAGAAACGTGTTAGAATATCATTTTTCATTCCTTATTTGTCTCCAGTTTTGTCTTTCAGTGTGTAACGGCGCTCTTTGCATTTGCTTTCTTTCACCAGATTCCCGATGTTGAACATGTCCACACCGAGTGAGCTGAAGTCCTCCTGTGTGACTCGTAACGGGATGGTGAAGCTGCCTCCCAGCCAGCCCAACGGCCTGGGCAGTGCAAGCATCACCAAGGGGACGCCTGCCGCCAAGAACCGCCTGTGTCAGTCCTCCTCTGTACCCTCCATCCTTCCTCCTCCACCATCTTCTCTGTCCTATCACCATCACCACCTGGATGGTCCGGGTATGCCCCACGCTGCAGCTCCTCTCCTGCCCTCTGAGCCTGGGAAACCTCTGGTGGGTCTGAAACCGTCTCTTTGCCAGCTTCCTCCTCTCACCCTGCCCAAACCCGTACTGCTGGAGCGCCAGCTCGTTCTGGATGAGAAGCTGCTCAACCGGCTGCTTTGGTACTTCACCACAGCGGAGAAATGTGTACTGGCGCAGGTGTGCAAGACGTGGCGCAAGGTGCTGTACCAGCCCAAGTTCTGGGAAGGAGTGACGCCCATCTTGCATGCTAAAGAGCTGTACACCTTACTGCCCAATGGGGAGAAGGAGTTTGTCAGCCTCCAGGCCTTCGCTCTGCGTGGATTTCAGTCGTTCTGTTTAGTCGGTGTTTCAGACCTTGACATTTGTGAGTTCATTGACAACTACCCGCTGTCCAAGAAGGGCGTTCGGTCAGTCAGCCTCAAGAGGTCCACAATCACAGATGCTGGTTTGGAGGTAAGTCGCAGTGTGTTTGGAATAAAAGGTTCAGTCCATAAGTGGAGCCACTCCAGCTCGCACTCGCAGCACCATTGATGTACCAATTTATTCTCACTATTTGTGGATCATTAAGAATGTAGATTCTACTTCCCCGTGTCTTAAATTGCATTTGTGTTTGATCTTTATGAACTGCTTTTTTTCTTCTCCTCTTTTAGTTCATGCTGCACCGTTATTTGAAGATGAATACAGTTTTTGTTTCCAGACACCTGGTTTCACCTGCACACACATTACTTTCATTCATTCATTATTCTCATTTCTTGTTCAGTCTGAAGCACAGTGTGAAATGAGCACATAAACCACCTTTGGCTCACTTTCCCTGACACACACCTCGTGTGTTTTTATCACAGTGAACAGTGGAACGTGTATTTTGCTGAGACAAACTGGTGACATGTAACCAGCGAAACAGAGATTTTAAATAACTGGCAGCTGTTGTACTTTCAGCCAAACTGTTTCTGTCTTTAAACCAGTTTCAGCCCTGATATTTAAGGCATCACTGCTGATGACACTGATGCAGCAACAATCTTATAAAAGTCTGTGAATTAGACTCTTTCTGCTGAAAATAAAAAGACTTGTAACCAGTGACAACTGTTGCATGAAACATGGGACTGATGTGTCAGTAATGAGAGCAATGATGGATTTTGCATAAAAAATGTTTCAGTTGTATTTGCATATATGTGTTAGCTCAGACAGCTGATTTCTCACCTTGATCATTGAAGCTTGATGGATGGTCTTTGTCCTGCTGACAGAGCGCCAGTTTTAGGTTTCCTGAACACAGAAAGTAGACAGCTGATCACTTCATGGTCAGCTTAGGTTTGTGCTGGAGCCTGTACCAGCTAACGCAGGGCTAACGCAGGGCTAACGCAGGGCTAACGCAGGGCTAACGCAGG